CTCCCATCATCCCATGCGCTCCCATCATCCCATGCGCTCCCATCATCCCATGCGCTCCCATCATCCCATGTGCTCCCATCATCCCATGCCCTCCCATCATCCCATGCGCTCCCATCATCCCATGCGCTCCCATCATCCCATGCGCTCCCATCATCCCATGCGCTCCCATCATCCCATGCCCCCCCATCATCCCATGCACTAAGTTTCCGGGCCTGCACAGCTGCTGTGCTCATTAATGGGAGCTCCCACCATCCCTGCCGGATCTATTATTTATTTTATATAGAAATGTGTACATATATGTAATAGAAGGAGCTGTAACACAGGTGAGTGGCGGCGCGCTTTACACCACGGCATCCCACGCTTTGCATTGCACTTGGTGATGTGCGGCTTGGATGCAGCTGCTCGCAAGGAAATTTCACGGAAGAACGGGTCGCTCTCAGGAGCTCAGTGACTACAAGCGCGGTACCGTGATAGGTTGTCACCTGTGCAATAAGTCCATCCGTGACATGCCCTGGCTACTAAATATTCCACCGCGGTCACCTGTTACTGGGATTATAACAAAGTGGAAGCAACTGGGAACAGCAACTCAGCCAGGAAGTGGTAGGCCACGTCACATGACAGAGCGGGGTCGGCGCATGCTGAAGCGCACAGTGCGCAGAAGTCGCCAACTGTCTGCAGAGCCAATAGCTACAGACCTCCAAACTCCATGCGGCCTTCAGATTGGCACAACAACAGTGCGTAGAGAGCTCCATGGAATGGGTTTCCATGGCCGAGCAGCTGCATCCAAGCCGCACATCACCAAGTGCAATGCAAAGCGTGGGATGCCGTGGTGTAAAGCGCGCCGCCACTGGACTCTAGAGAAGTGGAGGCGTGTTCTCTGGAGTGACCAATCACGCTTCTCTGTCTGGCAATCCGATGGGCGTGTCCTAACAAAGGGTTAAAGTCTTGAAGACACTGAGGGGAATTTATCAAAACTGCAGCAGTTGCCCATGACAACCAATCAGCTTCTCTCTTTCATTTTCAAATCTTAACTGAACGAACTGAAGAGAGAAGCTGATTGGTTGCCATGGGCAACTGCTCCAGATTTGATAAATTCCCCTCGGTGTATGGTAATGTTGTCCCTCAGTCTGTCCCCCTATGTCAAGGATGAGCAACTCTGGCCCTCCAGCTGTGCTTTAACTACAAATCCCCACATGCTCCTGCCTCCGGGAGCCATGTCTGTAACAGTCAGCCTTGCAATGCCTCATGGGACTTGTAGTTCCGCAACAGCTGGGAGGGCCGGAGTTAGAAACAGAGTGCGTGTACCCGTTACCTTCATGTTTTAGAGGATCCTCCGTGTGGTCCATATATTCACAGGACGCTTGTGCCTGCAGCTTGTGCTTCTCTCTACAACAAATAGACGCAGACATAACCAATAAAGATCACTTCCTGTCCTGGTGACACCCCTGCCACACCCTATCACAAGGACAGGAAGTGAGGCAAATTTTCCACCCACCGTGATACATTTCCTCAGTCTCCCCTCCCCCAGTGATCAGTCTGCTGCAGGCAGGAGGAAGCATTCCTCAGTCTCCCCTCCCCCAGTGATCAGACTGCTGCAGGCAGGAGGAAGCATTTCCTCAGTCTCCCCTCCCCCAGTGATCAGACTGCTGCAGGCAGGAGGAAACATTTCCTCCGTCTCCCCTCCCCCAGTGATCAGTCTGCTGCAGGCAGGAGGAAGCATTGCCTCAGTCACCCTTCAGACTTTCACATGGACTATAGAGAGGTATTTAAAGTAGATGTAAACCCAATCACCAAATTCACATCTAGGGTTGAACATGTTAATGTTTCAAAAAAATGTTTCAGTCTTTTTAAATCTTTCGTTGTAATGATCCCTAGTGATCCCGCCATGAAGGTCCTTGCTCAGGCTCTTCCTGTTATAGGGTGACTACGCTCTGTTCCTGTCTTCCATTTGGGCTCCTGTGTTGTCATCCTATCACATGGGCTTCCCATGGAGACTACAAGTGGCTGTTTCAGTACACATTACACAGACACAGCGCATTGTTGCCCACGGCCCACACATCAGCAAACCCGCCCTGAGAAATGTCATGCAGCCATCGCTGGAGTGCATGTAGACAGGAAGTGGCTGCAGTAGACAGGAAGTGGCTGCAGGCTGCAGGAGATCAGCAGCACTGAGAAGTAACAAAAATATGAAAAAAGGTGACTGTAGCAACCTAAATTCCAATGACTTAAAGGAGAACTATGGGGTCAGGGCTTTTCCCCATAGTTCTCCTAAGGGTAACAGGAGGACACAAACTAGCGTCCTCCCGTCACCCTAGGCTCAGTATATAGGGAGCTACAGCTCGCGGTATACTGAGGCCGCCGCAGCCGGGACGGATCCCGACATTACTGTCCAGATCCACCCAGCTGCGTGATTGACAGCTGGCTCTGCCTATCTAGAGGCAGCTGTACCAGCCCCGTCCGTTCCGCCAGACAGCGCTAGAGGATCGGAGAGGGGGGAATCCCTGCAGGGAGCAGTGAGTGACAGTATGTGTTCGCTCATATCCGATCTACAGAGCCGACCTGTGACAGTTTCATTGTCACACGTCGGCTCTGATTATCACTCGCCTCATAATTCTCCTTTAAGGTTTACATTCACTTCAAATGATCCCCCTCCTTGCCGACGCACGAATCCCGCGCAAGCACCTTTGCGTCACCCCGTCATAGAAGACGTGACAGGTAGAGACGAGGAGAAAGAAGGAAAGTCTAAGTACTGATGTCTGTCACCGTACTTCCGGGACGGCTTCCAGCAGGCGCAGACCGTTACCAAGGTAACCAGCAAAAATATTCCTCCCATTGACAGGACGATGTACAAGGAGCTTCTTCCTGCACAAGGCAAAATTCTCAAATTAATACGACGCATTAGGGATGCAGCCGAGTGGCAATTTTAAGACCAAAACCAACATTTCTAAATTTGTCAGAAACTGAAAATGATTTTATTTCCAATCTTTTTGCATTTTTTTAAATGATTTTTTTATTATTTTATTTTTACTTTTCTGGGGGGGGGTTGCCCCTAATATGTCCCTTAAAGGAGAACTATGGGGTCAGGGCTTTTCCTCATAGTTCTCCTTAGGCCCCATTCACACTCCTCAGGGGCAGGGCCCTCCTTACCATCTTGTCTTGAATTTTATTGTGATTATAATGTCTTCCTTATAATGTAAAGCGCTGCGCAAACTGTTGGCTTCATACAGTGGCGTCACAAGGGGGGTGGGGCCCGCACCCGGGTGACACCATTGGAGGAGTGACACCAAAATGACTCGCAGTTATATTGGTGTCACCCCTCTCTGAAAAGTTCTTGAATTGTATTGTGATTGTAATGTCTTCCTTATATTGTAAAGCGCTGCACAAACTGTTGGCGCCATATAAATCCTGTATAATAATAATAATGATCTGTACTGTACCGGAACGCAGACTTACGGTAGACGGTGAGTTTAAATGGAACGCTGCGTCCGCTGCTGATGGGGTTTTCCACCAAGCAAACGTAGACCTCGTCGTCGGCCATGGTGACCCTGGAGATGGTCATCACTCGGTGGTCGGGGGACAGCAGTATCCTGGAGTCATTGGCCAGAGTCTTCCCCCCCTTCATCCAGGTGTAGACGGGCTTTGTGCCGTTATCGTGGAGGCAGCTCAGCGTGAAGTTCTCTGCGAGCTCCAGGACGGTGGATGAGGGAACCGAGATGCGGGGCTTGGATATCGGAACTGCATGGGACAGAGAAATGCGACGTTCTTATTTCTATTATGTGCACATTTCAGGAAAACAATACTGAGAGTGATATCCCTGCACACTGCGAGCTCCTCACATTGTAACTGCAACAACACAGATAGAACCCGCCTCATTTCCTGAACCTGCCAATATGTTTTTTGGGCAGTCAAGGAAAACACATGGGGTTAACTTAAATAAGGATGGGAGGGGGCTTTAAATATAGACTCCATGCAGACAGTGCCCTGGTGGGAGGTGACCCAGAACTACACTGCTGCAGAGCCAAACCCACCATGAGGCAATAAGCTCCTCGGTAATAAGTGTCAGTAAGAGGAGATTTGCACAGAGTCCCTCTGAGTTCCCGGGCCTGTACACGCGCTGTGCCCATTATGAGGAGCTCCCACCATCCCTGTGCTGAGTTCCCGGGTCTGTACACCCGCTGTGCCCATTATGAGGAGCTCCCACCATCCCTGTGCTGAGTTCCCGGGTCTGTACACCCGCTGTGCCAATTATGAGGGGTTCCTCTGGCCCTGTGCTGAGTACCCGGGTATGTACACCTACTGCGCCTAGTATGAGGGGTTTTCACCTCCAATAGGTGGGATATTACTTTGTTGGAGTGCCCAAAGCATGTAATAAGTTAGGGGCTGCCATGGTTCACCTGTAACCCGAATATACATTGTGGGAGGACTGACACGTTACCACCACGTACCGTCCACGGTGAGGTTGATGGTCTTTTCTCCTGTAAACGTATCGTCGGTGATGGAGACCTCCACCTCGTAGGTCCCCTCGTCGGACAGAAGGAGGTTACTGATCAGCAGGGAGCCGTTCTCGAAAACCTGTATCCGGTCCCTGTAGTCCGCTCGTAGGTTCCCGATGATGTCTGCGCCCACTGACTGCACCACGGTGATGGGTTTCTCTCGCTTCACCTGCCATTTCACCACGGGTTTGTCGCTGCTCGAGCTGCTGTATTGCACCGAGAGGAGGGCCGAGCGCCCATACGTGCCGTGGATGTGCTTAACGTGGCTGGTGATGTTCACAGACTCCAATGGATCTGAGAGCATGAAATAGAAGTCAGATTTTACACCAATTGTTATTATATCGCACCCAATGAAGTCAACATCTAGAACCCCAAAAAATCAAGGAAACCCTCATATTGGTGGGAGGAGGCCAGAGGCACCCATCCCAGGCAACGTCTTGGATGGGTGCAGGGGGGCTGCTGGGATGGGAGCTTCTCTTGCCTCTGCATTGCCCAGTCCTGATACAAGCAGTAGGCCGGCTCTTGGGAGGAGTTATGCAAATATCAACATGCCTGGATGGGTGGGTGTCAGTCTGGAGGAGTGGGTGTTCCCAGGCAGGCTACATTTGCATGCAGACCCTCCCAAGGTAAGACCCATGGGTATTGCTGAGTCTTCATGATCGAAATCCAATGTATGAAAGGGTCGAGCCAGGCACAGCCAGGCTGGGGAGGAAAGCGCTGAATGATGCTGGACATCCTCCGGCCAGGAAGGCGGGGCTCTATCTGACTTGCTGCAGCTTCTAATGCACATTATAAGAAGCTCCCAGTGTGCAGGAAAATCAGAGGAAGAAATTTCAGTCCAGGAGAGGAGCCGGTACAACTGTGCAAGACTGAAGGGAAGGACGGAGGTCAGATAGAAGACTGAAGGGAAGGACGGAGGTCAGATAGAAGACTGAAGGGAAGGACGAAGGTCAGATAGAAGACTGAAGGGAAGGACGGAGGTCAGACATAAGACTGAAGGGAAGGACGGAGGTCAGATATAAGACTGAAGGGAAGGACGGAGGTCAGACATAAGACTGAAGGGAAGGACGCAGGTCAGACATAAGACTGAAGGGAAGGACGCAGGTCAGACATAAGACTGAAGGGAAGGACGCAGGTCAGACATAAGACTGAAGGGAAGGACGGAGGTCAGATAGAAGACTGACGCGGGGGACGGAGTTCAGCTTTAAACTCCCAGATAGAAGAACTGATTTTTGGTAAAGATAATATTATTGGAAACCTGGATCTGTATTAAGATGATGATTATGACTAAACCTCATTGGTTTAAATGAGAACTATGAGGGGGAGGGGCTTTCCACTCACCTCATAGTTCTAGCCGACCTGTGACAATGAGACTGTCACAGGTCGGCTCAGTAGATCGGGAGGTGAGCGAACACATACCGGCGTTCGCTCACCTCTCGATCCCGTCACGGCTCTCTGCCGTGACAGGGGAGGGGCTGGATTCCCCTCTCCCCGCTCCAATCTGCCAGCGCTGACTGGCGGAACGGACGGGGGAGGGGGCGGGTACAGCTGGCTCTGCCTCTAGATAGGCAGAGCCAGCTGTCACTCATGCAGCTGGGCGGATTCAGACATCGATGTCGGGATCCGCTCCGGCGTCTCAGTATACCGCAAGCTGTAGCTCCCTATATACTGAGCTTAGGGTGACGGGAGGACGCTAGTTTGTGTCCTCCCGTTACCCTATGGAGAACTATGGGGAAAAGCCTTGACCCCATAGTTCTCCTTTAACCTTGTTGCAAGGACACACACCCCCCACACACATCCAGTTTAATTGTCCTTGCACCAAGAGGTGGTAGCTCTAGGACCAGCGGGCAGCAGTTGACATTATGTACCCTGTGCTGGTCGATGTGCAAGCTCCATGGGAATGGGATGGGGGGGTGCATATTGGCATCTTCATCCGGGGTATCAGAGGTCCCATTACAGAAATCACACATCATCCAGCACACAATCAGAATTCCCACGACCTGTATAAGATGGATTCTGATTGGCTGCTGAGCGTATTGAGCTTTTCTCTATGATAATACACAATCCCATGGAGGAAATCTCCCCTTTGGCCCAGTAATGTCTCTGAACTGGCTTCACCATCAATCAATATTTAACTGGCAGCAGCATTAATCTCCAATCCTTACGTGTGTTGTGGGATCAGCAGGCGGAGTCAATTTTTATAGTATTGTTATTATTATTCGGATTGTTACTTTATCATCATTTCTGCCCGAGATCCTGATGACTGAAGTCTTCTAAGGTCAGCCACACACTCCTATGGATGCTGCGTGGACGTGGAGCCTCAGTTTTTGGACCGATACTGAAATATTACATTATAATTATTTCAATATTTACCTTCCATAAAGTAATTATGTATCAACACCAGATTAGAAACTTTGACCTTTTCCTTCTGTGACATAAACCTGGCGCCCCTCCGTTTTCGCGAGGAGTGCTGAGACATAAACCCGCGCCCTTGTACTAGCAGGCCGCGCGTGTTTACGAACTGAGCAGACGCCCCCGTAAAAATGACAGCACCTGGATTGGAAATGCAACCTGGGGCCCAACCTGGGGGCCTGGGGAGGGGTGTCAGCGTGGGTCAGGTGCTGGCCAATGGCATAACGTTGCATTCTGGGCACGAAAATATTCATTTAACTATATTCTTCAATGGCCGCAAAGGATATAAATCCACTATGTGTGCCTATGCAAACCCAGAAATTACCCAGGACACCACTACTGTGCTATACAAAGCCTGTGCTGAGAGCAAAGCTGTGGAAGGGGCCCAGCAGGCATCACCCACTACAGGAAACTACTGGAGGGGGCAGAGACAAGACCAGTCACCCTGCACAAGGAGAGAGAGCAGCAGTGAGCGGTCTTTATTACAGGAGGGGGCGGAGACAAGACCAGTCACCCTGTACAAGGAGAAAGAGCAGCAGTGAGCGATCTTTATTACAGGAGGGGGCGGAGACAAGACCAGTCACCCCGCACAAGGAGGGAGAGCAGCTGTGACTGGTGTTTATTACAGGAGGGGGCGGAGACAAGACCAGTCACCCTGTACAAGGAGAGAGAGCAGCAGTGAGCGATCTTTATTACAGGAGGGGGTGGAGACAAGACCAGTCACCCTGTACAAGGGGAGAGAGCAGCAGTGAGCGGTCTTTATTACAGGAGGGGGCGGAGACCAGACCAGTCACCTTACACACGAAGAAAGAGCAGCAGTGACTGGTGTTTATTACAGGAGGGGGCGGAGACAAGACCAGTCACCCTGCACAAGGAGAGAGAGAGCAGCAGTGAGCGGTCTTTATTGCAGGAAGCTCCAATTCTCACACTGGATTACTGCACAGATCTGGAAGAAATACACAAAGCTCACCGAGATTCCAGAAGAACACACATGTCTCGTGTATGAGGACGCTATTTCCTTATGCGGGAGTTCAGCTTTAAACACTCATACTACCTCTTAATTCCTCCCTCAGAGATAGGATGATCTGCTAAGGTCAATTATACACAGGCTGCCATAAAGCATGCAGGTAATCCAGCATTCAAACCAAGGGGCAGGAAGTCATTGTACGTGCAGGTAAACCTTCCTCGTCAATGTGTTCTGATATAGAGGAAATTATTGACCAGGGGTGAATGTTTAGTGGATGTCACATCCATTGCTTTATAAATACACATTTGTGGTCAGAGCCTGGACACGGCCGTGTGTAAATCTCCTACGGACTTGGTCGCGCTGGTCAATATGCCTAAAAGGGGGCATACTCAAGCAGTGTTTGTAAAAAGGGGTTTTGGGTGGGATGCCAGAAAATGATCCCACACTGGGAAGAAGCAGAACTGTGGCCGTATTTACAGGCCAGGCTCCTCCCACAAATACAAGCTAGCCAATGGCCAGCCTTCTTACGTACCCAACTGAATGGTAAAAGATATACAAATGTTAAATATGTGATACACAATATCAGTTGAATCTAATAACAAGAATACATTTCCTTCCCTTAAATATAATTCGTATAAATCGTCCCAGGCAGGATTTGTATCTTTCTGATGCGGGAGGCCTCTGTGGCCCTTGCAGGGGGCCCCTCTGTTGATGCTGCAGCCCTTAGCGATTGAGTTAGCACAGTCAGGGGGGAGTGTACACAGAACATGTTTGGTTGGCAGTCAGTGAAGGAAATCTCAGGAGCTTATCCAGGGAAAACACATCTTGAAGACAGTGAAACAATAGACACAACAAGGCAATATATCAAATGGCCACAAAATGAGACACGCCGCGGGGGGGCCGGAACAGCCGGACAGAACCAGCGGCAGCGACCTCTTCCCTGGGCCTCAGTCCTGGGTAACGAGGAACAAAACCGTGCAGGATTGTGAAATGTGTCATCGCTTCAATGCCTTGATGTATGCCCAGATCCGAATGATCCGACACGCTGACAGCCTTAAAGGGACCCTCCACCCAGAACCTGAGATGGTGAAGATCCATTGTGCGGACTTAGTTACATAGTATTTGAGGTTGAATAAAGACATAGGTCCATCAAGTCCAACCTGATTTATATTTGCTCCCTTTTACTTCCCTGTTACTCTTCGGGGGGGTGAGAGGTCACCTGAAACGTGACAGTCGCTGTTCTATCAACGATGTGGCCCCGAATCTTCATCATGTTGTCAAATGAGAGAGGGCCCTGTAGTTGTACGGTCATACTCACCTCCTCCAGGAGCCATTGCAGGGTCTCCTCTCCAGAGACTGGGGAAGCGTCACATTGCTAAGTTCAAGTAACGAATCACTGTGCCTAAATCCCCCGCTGCTGTACTTACCTGCCCCTAGGACAGCGAATGACGTCCTCTGCACCCCAGAAAGTGCACCCCCATGACACCTGAGCCGCCACACAGTCTGTCACACTGTGCAGTTGTCTGGCCTGCTACACCGCACCATCAGTCCCCGCTGCTGCCTTGAGACCCCAAATCCCCTGAGATGTCCTCCTCTCAGCAGATACGGACCCCTGTCCATGACACCTATTACCTGCAATGCTCTGGTATCTGAGGCTGTTATGTATACTCAGAAGCTGGGAGGATGCTGTACGAGGATAGCTCAGCCTCCAATTTCTGTATGAAGACCACCGGCCACTGCTGTAGGGGTTGTCAGCTGGCCGTTATCTTTCCAGACTGGACAGTAAAAATGGGATTTGTTCCCAATGAGGATAAAAAGAAATTAAGAGAGAAGATCACTGAGGAGGTCATGTGACCAGCCAGGAGACTGATGTGTAAGATGGATGGATGGATGGATGGATGGATGGATGGATGGA